GGTTTCATCTGACCATATGACATTCTCCCAATCCTCTTCTGGATCATCCAAATGCTCTCTAGCAAACTTCAGATGGGCCCGGACATGTACTGGATTAAGCAGGGGGACACGTCTGGCACTGCAGGATCTGAGTCCCTGGCAGCGTAGTGTGTTACTGATGGTAGCCTTTGTTACGATGGTCCCAGCTCTCTGCAGGTCATTCACTAGGTCCCCCCCGTGTGGTCCTGGGATGTTTGCTCACCGTTCTTGTGATCATTTTGACCCCACGGGGTGAGATCTTGCGTGGAGCCCCAGATCGAGGGAGATTATCAGTGGTCTTGTATGTCTTCCATTTTCTAATTTTTGCTCCCACAGGTGATTTGTTCACACCAAGCTGCTTGCCTATTGCAGATTCAGTCTTCCATGCCTGGTGCAGGTCTACAATTTTGTTTCTGGTGTCCTTCGACAGCTCTTCGGTCTTCACCATAGTGGAGTTTGGAGTGTGACTGTTTGAGGTTGTGGACAGGTGTCTTTTATACTGATAACAAGTTCAAACAGGTGCCATTGATACAGGTAATGAGTGCAGGACAGAGGAGCCTCTTAAAGAAGAAGGTACAGGTCTGTGAGAGCCAGAAATCTTGCTTGTTTGTAGGTGACCAAATACTTATTTTCCACCATAATTTGCAAATAAATTCTTTCCAAATCAGCCAATGTGGTTGTCTGGATTTGTTTTCTCATTTTGTCTCTCATAGTTGAGGTCTACCTATGATGCCAATTACAGGCCTCTCTCATCTTTTTAAGTGGGAGAACTTGCACAATTGGTGGCTGACTAAATACTTTTTTGCCCCACTGTATATACACGCATACACAGTGCCTTGAAAAAGTATTCATCCCTCTTGCAATTTTCCACATTTTGTCATGTTACAACCAAAAACGTAAATGTATTTTATTGGGATTTTATGTGATAGACCAACACAAAGTGGCACGTAATTGTAAAGTGGAAGGAAAATGATAAATGGTTTTTAAAATGTTTTACAAATAAATATGTGCAAAGTGCAGCGTACATTTGTATTCAGCCCCCCGGAGTCAATACTTTGTAGGACCCCCTTTCACTGCAATTCTAGCTGCAAGTCTGTTTGGGGATGTCTCTGCCAGATTTGCACATCTAGAGAGGGACATATCTGCCCATTCTTCTTTGCAGAATCGCTCAAGATCTGTCAGATTGGATGGAGAGCGTCTGTGAACAGCAATTTTCAAGTCTTGTCACAGATTCTCCATTGGATTTAGGTCTGGACTTTGACTGGGCCATTCTAACACATGAATATGCTTTGATCCGAACCATTCTATTGTAGGTCTGGCTGGATGTTTCGGGTCGTTGTTCTGCTGGAAGGTGAACCTCCGCCCCGGTCTCGGGTCTTTTGCAGACTCTAACAGGTTTGTTCTAAGATTGCCCTGTATTTGGCTCCATCCATCTTCCCATCAACTCTGACCAGCTTCCCTGTCCCTGCTGAAGGGAAAACCATTTATTTATTTCAGGTACTTATATACCTGAAATGTGGAAGTGCTAACCATTTATCATTTTCCTTCCACTTCACAATTATGTGCCACTTACATATAGATCAAATATATAAATAAAAATAAATATATATGTTTACTGTACAAAATACACAAACAACAAAAATAGAATATATTTTTTTATTAGTGTATTTTGTATAAATATAGCTTTTGTGTGTGTGTGTATTTTAAATGTCTACATTTTTTTCTTACTGTATAAAGAATATATACACACACTATATTGACAAAAGTATTGGTCGTCCGGCCTTTCCACGCACATGAACTGTAACCATTTGCCGCCCGCCCTATGGCCGAATAGCGGGTGGAAAATGTCATCAGCGTTCCGGTTGGACGCCATACGGTGTCCTCCCGCACATGCGCAGATTGCGCTCCTGCAGAGCGGCGCAGCGGCGTGATCTGTCACCGGCCGTGTACCTCGGACACGGCCGATGACAGATCTGAGTATCGGCCCCGTTGCCGGTACCATGTGACCTGCTGTGACCAATCACAGCAGGTCACATGACAGTTGTATACAATGGATGGCTTCATTCATGCCATCCATTGTATACTAGTGTCTAGCTGTGAATGGTCACAGCGATCACATGCACATGTCATGTGATTAGCTGTGGCCAAATCACAGCTAAGCACAAAAAAAAAAAAAAAAAAAAAAAAAAAAACCTGAATGAATCGATGTTATTCAGGTAAATGCTTGCTTATAGCAAAGTAATTCTTTGCTATAAGCAAATTGTGTAAAAAAAAAAAAATACTGATCACTTCCCCACAGTAGTACAATGTTACTATGGTAACATTGTACTACTTTGGTCATAGTGAAATATGAAAAAAAAAATCTTAAAAAAAGAAAAAAAAATTAATAAAAAATAATAAAAAAAATAAAAAAAATATATATATATCATTTTTTTTTTTCATACTGTCACCAGTCAGTGTCCCTGATCACCGCCATGCCAGTTATATGATGACGCTGTACTGCACTGATGACAGTATGAAAAAAAAAAATAGTAAAACTAATTTTTTCATTTTCTGAAAAATTATGACAAAAAAAAATAAAACTTCAAAAAACTCGCCATTCCTCTTATGAAGTACGTCAGACTGTCTACTCTGCAAAAAGGGGTCATTTGGGGGATATCTGTACTGTTCTGACATTCTTGGACCTCAAGAAATTAGATTGGCTGTCAGTACTTCAGGATTGATCAATATTCAGATCTATACCATAGTTTGTGAAATCTATAACTTTCCTACAAACTAAAAAATACATCCTAATTTGGGTTATTTTCACCAAGACGTGTAGCAGAATACATCTCGGCCTAAATTTATGAAGAACAATTATTTAATTGCAAACTTTTATAACAGAAACAAAGAAAAACTTTTTTTTTTTCAATATTTTTGGTCTTTTTTTGTTAATTTAGCAAAAAATAAAAAACCCCGGCGGTGATTAAATACCACCAAAAGAAAGCTCTAGTTGTGTGAAGAAAATGATAAAATTTTAATTTGGGTACAATGTTGTATGACCGCGCAATTGTCATTCAAAGTGTGAGAGCGCTGAAACCTGAAAAATGGCCTGGGCAGGAAGGTGTAAAATTGCCCGGTATTGAATTGGTTAATGGCCCCCCAGTCTTAGTCCGTAGGGTTCAATATTGAGTTGGCCCCGCCCTTTGCAGCTATAACAGCTTCAACTCTTCTGGGAAGGCCGTCCACAAGGTTTAGGAGGGTGTCTATGGGAAGGTTGGACCATTCTTCCAGAAGCACATTTGTGAGGTCAGGCACTGATGTCGGGGGAGGAGGCCTGGCTCACAGTCTCCGCTCTAATTCATCCCAAAGGTGTTCTATGGGGTTGAGATCAGGACTCTGTGCAGGCCAGTCAAGTTCCTCCACCCCAAACTGGCTCATCCATGTCTTTATGGACCTTGATTTGTGCACTGGTGGGCAGTCATGTTGGAACAGGAAGGGGCCATCCCCAAACTCTTCCTGCACAGTTGGGAGCATGAAATTGTCCAAAATGTCTTGGTATACTGACACCAGTTTCACTGGAACTAGGGGGCCAAGCCCAACCCCTGAAGAACAACCCCACACCATAACCCCCCCCCCCCCTCCACTAAACTTTACACTTGGCACAATGCAGCCAGGCAAGTACCGTTCTGCTGGCAACCGCCAAACCCAGATACGTCCATCAGATTGCCAGACATAGAAGCGTGATTGGTCCCTCCAGAGTCCAGTGGCGGTGTGCTTTACACCACAGCATCCGATGCTTTGTATTGCACTTGGTGATGTAAGGCTTGGATGCAGCTGCTCGGCCATGGAAACCCATTCCATGAAGCTCTCTACACACTGTTGTTGTGCTAATCTGAAGGCCACACCAAGTTTGGAGGTCTTTAGCTATTGACTCTGCAGACAGTTGGTGATTTCTGCGCACTGTGCACTTCAGCATGCGCTGACCCCGCTGTGTCATGTGATGTGGCCTACCACTTGGTGGCTGAGTTGCTGTTGTTCCCAGTTGCTTCCACTTTGTTATAATCCCACTAACAGTTGAGCGTGGAATATTTAGTAGCCAGGAAATGTCACGGATGGACTTATTGCACAGGTGACAACCTATCACGGGACCACGCTTGGAGTCACTGAGCTCCTGAGAGCGACCCATTCTTTCACAGATGTAGAAACAGTCTGCATGTCTAGGGGCTTGATTGTATACACCTGTGGCCATGGAGGTGATTGGAACACCTGAATCACATGATTTGGAGGGCTGGACTAATATTTTTTTTTTTTGGGGGGGGGGTGGTTTGTCAGACGGCGAAGTTAATTTATATATATATATATTTTTTTTTTTTACTTTTGTGTGTTTATATATATAATAAGCTGACATCTCCATCTGAATGACAAGAAAAAAAATATATACATATACACAAAGGATTAAAAAAAAAAATTATATATATACATACATTTATCCTTTGTGTGTGTATATATATATATAAAATTCTAACCTTTATGTGTATATATATATATATATATATAATTTTTTATCCTTTGTGTATATAATTTTTTTATCCTGTGTATATATATATATATATATATATTTTTTTTTTTATCCTTTGTGGATATATAAATTTTTTTTATCCTTTGTGTATATATATAAATTTTTTTATCCTTCGTATGTATATATAAATATTTAATTTTTTTATCCTTTATATATATATATATATATATTTTTTTTTTTTTTTTTTCTTGTTGTACATTATTTCTCTCACATTGCTGTGATCAGCCCTCCTGTCCCATACAGCCCCCCGCAATATATATCAATGAATGTTGGATTATTGGACTCTCAGAAGAAGGAACCCGTTGCGCTGAAATACACCAGGAATCCTTCTACAGTCCCCGCCCCTTATGCCGGTACACCGCCCATCTCTCTCTCTCTGTCCGTCGCCGTCTGAATGACGTCAGTGGGTCGGTGAGCCGGCCTGTCACGTCACTTCCGCCCGGTCGCTGTCAGAAAACTTGTGGCGCGCGGCCGGCTGGGCTGGAGTGGCACTCGGTGTCGGCGGGGGGTGACGTGGTGCGGACAATGTTGGGGACGCTGAGGAGTTTCCCGCCACCCGTGGAGGGGGTGAGGCGGCAGCAGGACGGGACGGAGGCCGTGCTGAGCGGAGAGAAGCTGGGGAGAGGAACGCTGTATATAGCCGAGAGGTGAGCCGGCATGGCCTGACAGGCGGTCGGGGCCCCTGTGGGGGCGGGGCTTCCACATGCTGGAGACTCCCAGCCCCTCCTCCTCGTCAGGGTTCCCGCACCCCCCATGTAGCAGCACCAAGTGTTTGTTCTGACCGTTTGAAGGCCGAGCATTTGTGGGACGTTCTGTGTACAAGTGTCAGGGCCGGTCCACACTGCGCTTTCTTTCTGCATCCAAAACGCACAGAAAGTCGCTGATATGGTGGTCAGTGTCCTAGTTCACATCAGTGCTTGCAGTTCCAGTGCGTTCCGGGGGCAGAAATAAAGTAGAACAGGCGGCATTTTTTCTGCACCAGAATGCGGTAAAACGCATCACAAATGCACTGGAACGCACATGTCTCTATTTAAATTGAAGAAAAAGGGGGGGAAATTAACTGAAATGCATAAAAAAACACCGGAACGCATCAAACTCACCCGCAAAAACGCACCGGAAGGCGTCAAACTCACACGCAAAAACGCACCGGAAGGCGTCAGACTCACGCAAAAACGCACCGGAAGGCGGTCCAGAAGGCGTCAAACGCACACGCAAAAACGCACCGGAAGGCGTCAAACGCACACGCAAAAACGCACCGGAAGGCGTCAAACGCACACGCAAAAAACGCACCGGAAGGCGTCAAACGCACACGCAAAAACGCACCGGAAGGCGTCAAACGCACCGGAAGGCGTCAAACGCACACGCAAAAACGCACCGGAAGGCGTCAAACGCACACACGCAAAAACGCACCGGAAGGCGTCAAACGCACACGCAAAAACGCCCCGGAAGGCGGCACTCACACGCAAAAAAAAACGCCCCGGAACGCGGCACTCACACGCATAAACGCCCCGGAACGCGTCAAACATGCAAAAACGCCCCAAATGTGTCAAAAACTCATGCAAAAACGCACCGGAACGCGTCAAAAACTTGCATGCAAAAACGCATCTGGAACGCACCTGAACTGCGTTTTTACAGCGTGAAACGGCCCTAAGGACCAGTTTCACACTCCATGCGTTTCAATTTTTTCTTTTTTTTTTTTTTTTTGGCATCCAAAACGCACAGAAAGTCGGTGATATGGTGGTCAGTGTCATAGTTCATATCAGTGCTTGCAGTTCCAGTGCGTTCCGGGGGCAGAAATAAAGTAGAACCGGCTGCATTTTTCCTGCACAGAACTGTACTGGAATGGGGTAAAACGCACCGGAACACACATCTCCCTATTTAAAAAGAGAGGGTAAAAATGAACCGGAATGCATAAAAAACGCGCCGGGACTCGTCAAAAACTCGCATTCAGAACGCATCTGGACTGTATTTCTATAGTGTGAACCGGCCCTAAATCCGGATGTATGCTAGAAAATGACTGACAACCACAAAACATTTTATATATTTTTTTTTTTAGCAAAAACCCTAAAGAATGAATTGGCAATCGCAATTTTTTGCTACGCGGTATTTTGCGCAGCGCTCTTTCAAACCTTTTTTTTTTTTTAACCACATGCCGCCCAGCCACTGTAGAAATACGTTGGCGGGGCGGCACGGCTGGGCAAAACCACGTTTTAAAACATGTGTTTGCAAAACAGGGGGGGCGCGAGCCACCGCCCTACCTGTCCCGCCGATCACAGCCGCGGATGTCAGTCTCCGGGTCACAGCCGGTCGTTACCGGCTATGTCCCGGCCATTAGCGGCAATCACTGACAGAGAGCAGGGCTGCAGTAGCTGTGCTTTCTGTCAGTTCCCTGACAGCTCCTGACATGCTGATCAGGACAGAAGAGTTTATCTGTCCGGATCAGTGTGTCTCCCTGCAGTACACACCCCGCCCCCTAGTAAGACACTCCCCTCACACAGTTAACCCTTTCAGTAAATAAAAGTTAACCCCTTCCTCCCCAGTGCCATTAGTACAGTGTCAGTGGTTTTTTTTTTTTTTTTTTTTTGCACTGATCACTGTATTGGTGTCACTGGGGATGTCAGTGACCCCAAGTCAGTTCCCCCCCAATGTCAGAATGTCCACCGCAGTCCCTCAGTCCTGCCATAAGTCGCTGATCGCCGCCATTATTAGTATAAAAAAAAATTAAAAATCCCAGTATCTTTCCCGCCATTTGTAAACGCTATAACTTTCACGTAAACCAATTAATTTACACGTATTGGGTTTTTTTTTTTTAGCAAAGATGTCGCAGAATACATTTTGGCCGAAATTTATGACGAAATTTGATTTTTAAATTTTTTTTTTTACTGGACATGTTTTATAGCAAAAAGTCCAAAATATTGTTTTGTTTTTTTTTTTCTCAAAATTGTCAGCCTTTTTTTTTTTTTTTGTAATGCAAAAAATAAAAACCGCACAGGCGATCAAATACCACCGAAAGAAAGCTCAATTTGTGTGAAAAAAAGGATGTAAATTTCATTTATGTATTGCATGACCGCGCAATTGTCCATTAAACTAGCGCAGCGCTGTATAGCAGAAAAATGTCGTAAATTACAGTATTTATACCATAGTTTGTAGACGCTATAACTTCCACACAAAGCAATCAATATACACTTATTGGGTTTTTTTACCAAAAACATGGAGCAGAATACATTTTGGCCTAAATTTATAACCAACTTTGAGTTTACTATATATTTTTTATAGCTGAAAGTAAAAAATATTGTTTTTCTTCAAAATTTTTGGTCTTTTTTTGTTTATAGCGTGAAAAATAAAAAGTGCACAGGTGATCAAATACCACCGAAAGAAAGCTCTATTTGTGTGAAAAAAAGGACGTAAATTTTAGTGTGGGTGCAGCATTGCATGACCGCGCAATTATCAGTTGAATTAGTGCAGCACCGAGTAGCAAAAAGAGGCCTGGTCACTAAGGGGGGTAAATCCTCAGGAGGGCAAGTGGTTAAACATGTCTAGTAAAAAAAAATCAAATTTTGTCATAAATTTAGGCCAAAATGTATTCTGCGACATGTCTTTGCTAAAAAAAAAAAAAAAGAATCCCAATATGTGTAAATTGGTTTATGTGAAAGTTACAGCGCTTACAAATGGCAGTATATATACTGGGATTTTTATTTATTTATTTTTAGTAGTAATGGCGGTGATCAGCAACTTATAGCGGGACTGCGGCGGACATTCTGACACTGGGTTCGGAACTGACTTGGTGTCACTGACATCCCCATTGACATCAATGCAGTGATCAGTGCTAAAAAAAAAAAACACTGACACTGTACTAATGGCACTGGTCAGGAAGGGGTTAACATCTGGGGTGATCAAAGGGTTAACTGTGCACAGGGAGTGTTTTTACTAGTTGGCAGTGTCTGTGTGCTTCACTGTAATCGCACTGCTCTGGATGGCTGTGCTGTGCAGTGTTTCCGAGCTGACAGGGAGGAGGAATTTTTACTAAACAAAACAGTCGTCCTCCCCTTCGGAGATGCTCTGTAATCACTGGGCATCGGCGGGTAATTGACGGCCGTGGATGGCAGTGCGGGTAGGGCTCACGTTCACCCCCTACTCGGAAATGCAAAATGTATATATACATGATTTTGCGCACCCCTGCTACCCTGTAGCAGTATATCTGCTTTAGGGTGGCGGCGGGAAAGTGGTTAAACATGTCCAGTAAAAACATTTAAAAAAATCAAATTTATTCATGAGTTTCTGCCACAATGTATTCTGTTCCATGTCTTTGCTAAAAACAAAAATCCCAATACGTGTAAAATTAATTGGTTTACGTGAAAGTTATAGCGTCTACAAATGGCGGTATAGATACTGGGGTTTAATTTTTTTTTACTAGTAATGGTGGCGATCAGAAACTTATAGCGGGACTGTGGCGGGCATTCTGACGCTGGGGGGGGGACACTGTACTAATGGCACTGGGCAGGAAGGGGTTAACATTTGGGGCGATCAAAAGGTTAACTGTGTGTGCTTTATTGTGTGCTTTAATACTGTGTCAGCACATTGCTTTGTATGGAGCCATACAAAGCAGTGTGCAGGAGCTGACGGGAGAGATCTGTATTGTTTACATACAGGTCTCTCCCCCATCAGTGATACTCCGCGATCGCTGGATGCCATCAGGGAATCACCAGCTGGGACTCGGTGATCGACAGTTGAGGCCGTCAGTGGTGGTGCAGGTAGGGCCCCCCACCCAGAAATTATAAATCGTGTGTGTATGTATATATATATATATATGTGTGTGATTTTTGCTCACCCTTTGCACCCTGTAGCAGTATGTCTTCTGTAGGGCGGCGAGAAAGCAGTTAATAAAACAAAGAACAGCAGATATTTATATGAAAGGGGATGTTATGCAGGGTAAATAGAAACCTAACATGTCGCGCTTTGAAATTGCGCATACACGTGGAATGGCGACAAACTACAGTACTTAAAAATCTGCATAGGCGACACTTTAAACATTTTTTACAGGTTACCTGCTTGGAGTTACAAAGGAGATCTAGAATTCTTGCTCTGACGTTCACGGCGATATCTCACATGTGTGCTGCGAACACGTATGCGTTCGCGACTTACGTATACATTCACCATTGTCTGCGAGCTCAGATGGATGGGGGCGTTTTAACATTTTTTTTTTTTTTTTTATCTTTATTTTATTTTTGCACTGTCTCTTTATATTTTTGGATCACTTTATATATATATATATATATATATATATATATATATATATATATATATATATATATGTGTGGTGTGTATGTATGTATGTGTATACACACACACGTGATTTTGCATTTCCATGTAGGGGGCATGCGAGCCCCCCCCAACTTGCCCTCCAGTGGATTTACCCTCCTTCCTGATCAGGCCATTTTTTGCAGTATGGCACTGTGTTGTTTTAACTGACAACTGCACCCAAATTAAATTTATTTCCCTTTTTTCCCCACACAAATGAGCTTTCTTTCGGTGGTATTTTGATCGCCTGTTCATTTTTTATTTTTTGCGCTACAAACAAAAAAAGAGCAACAATTTTGAACAAAAACAGTATTTTTGACTGTTTGCTATAAAACATATATCCAATAAAAAAATTTTTAAAAAATCTAATTTCATCATAAATTTAGGCCAAAATGTATTCTGCTCCGTGTCTTTGCTAAAAAAAATCCCAATACATGTAAATTAATTGGTTTACGTGAAACTTATAGCGTCTACAAATGGCGGTATATATACTGGGGGTTTTATTTTTTGTTTATACTAGTAATGGGGGAGATCAACGACTTATAGCGGGACTGCAGCGGGCATTCTGACACTGAGTGGAAACTGATTAACGGCCACTGGCATCCCCAGTGACACCAATACAGTGATCAGTGCTAATAAAAAGCAGTGACGCTGGGCAGGAAGGAGTTAACATCTGGGGCGATGGAGTTTACTGTGTGTTTTTTTATATTGTGTGCTGTGTTGTGTTTTTACTAGGGAGACATGCTGTGCAGAGAGAAACAAAGCAGCATGTCCATGCTGACAGGAGAGAGATCGGTGTTGTTTACATACAGATCTCTCCCCTCTCAGCTCTACCAATGACCACCGAGTCCCACTAGCGGCCACCGAGTCCCACTAGCGGCCACCGAGTCCCACTAGCGGCCACCGAGTCCCACTAGCGGCCACCGAGTCCCACTAGCGGCCACCGAGTCCCACTAGCGGCCACCGAGTCCCACTAGCGGCCACCGAGTCCCACTAGCGGCCACCGAGTCCCACTAGCGGCCACCCGAGTCCCACTACTTCCTGTCCGCCCTATTGCAGAAATACTGCTACAGGGTGGCACAGGTGCACAAAATCATGTAGATATACGTATTGCGTTTCTGGGTAAGGGACGAGCCGGCCACATGCCCTATCCGCACCACCATTCGCATCCGTGGCTGTCAATCACAGGGTCCCGGCCAGTAATTACTCGCCAGCGCCCGTGATTTTTCGAAGATCTCTGACAGGAAGTAGGACGGTTTTGCTTACTAACAGTTCTCCCTGTCAGCTTGGGCACACTGCTGTGGATGGCTGTGCACAGCCATCCAAAGCAGTGTGATTACAGCAAAGCACACCGACAAGGCCCTCTAGTAAAACACTCCCTGCACACAGTTAACCCTTTGCTCACCCCTCATGTTAACCTCTTCCTGCCCAGTGCCATTAGTACAGTGTCAGTGCTTTTTTTTAGTGCTGATCACTGGTGTTACTGGGGATGTCAGTGACACCAAGTCAGTTCCCTCCCAGTGTCAGAGTGCCCGCCGCAGTCCCTCTATAAGTCGCTGATCGCCGCCATTACTAGTACAAATAAAATAAAAATCCCAGTATATATACCGCCATTTGTAAATGCTATAATTTTCACGTAAACCAATTAATTTACACGTATTGGGATTTTCTTTTAGCAAAGACATGGAGCAGAATACGTTTTGGCTTAAATTTTATGGTGAAATTTTGATTTTGTACAAAACATTTTTACTAGACATGTTAAGTAGCAAAAAGTCAAAAATATTGTTTTTTTTTTTTCTCAAAATTGTCGATTTTATTATTTTTATTTTTTTTATAGCATAAAAAAAAAAACCTCACAGGCGATCAAATACCACCGAATAAAGCTCGATTCGTGGGGGAAAAAAAGGACATATATTTCATTTAGGTGCAGCGTTGCATGACCACGCAATTGTCAGTTAAAGTAACACAGCGCCATAACGCAAAAAATGGCCTGGTCAGGAAGGGGGGTAATTCCTCAGGAGGACAAGTGGTTAAAAAAGAAAACCAATTGTTTACATCGAGACCAGAGGTGACGTCATCACGTCGCTCTTGTCCTTCAGTGCCGTAGAGGCAATCAGAGACCATAAAATAACCAGTTTACCTCCAGGGCAATTTTTTTTAATTTTTCACATGTACAAATCTTAATTTTTGGCCATAAAATTACTGAAACCCCCAGAACGTTCTGTATTTCCTGAAAGCAAAGGGCCTGTAGAATAAAAAAGTAAAGGTAACAGTTGTACATTTTTATGTCACATGATATTTGTGCAACTGTTTATTAAACTCAAAATTTCAGGAAAAAAATATAATAAAACAAATTTTAATGGGCAGCACAGTGGCTAAATGGTTAACACTTCCGCCTGGCAGTACTCCGGTCATTGGTTCGAATCCCAACCACGGCACCACCTGCCTGGAGTTTGCATGGTTTTCTCCCACACTCCAAAGACATGCTGGTAGGTTAATTGGCTCCTGTCTAAATTGGCCCTAGTATGTGTATGTATGAATGTGAGTTAGGGACCTTAGATTGTACACCCCTTACGGGATAGGGACTGATGTGAATGTACAATATATATGTAAAGTGCTGCGCAAACTGACGGTGCTATATACAGTTGCAAGAAAAAGTATGTGAACCCCTTGGGATTACGTGGGGTTTTGCATGAATTGGGCATAAAATGTGCTCTGAACGTCGTCTAAGTCACAACAATAGAAGAACACAGTTTGCTGAACATAATACTACACAAACATTAGATGTTGCCATGGTTTAATTGCACATAACATGTAAACATTCACAGTGCAGGGAGGAAAAAGATTGTGAACCTTTGCACTTAATAACTGGTTGACCCTCCTTTGGCAGCAATAACCTCAACCAAACGTTTCCTGTAGTTGCAGATCAGACCTGCACAACGATCTGGAGTCATTTTGGACCACTCCTCTTCACAAAACTGTTTCAGTGTAGCAAATATTCTTGGGATGTCTGGTGTGAAATCGCTCTCTTAAGGTCATGCCACAGCATTTCAATCGGGTTGAGGTCAGGACTCTGACTGGGCCACTCCAGAAGGCGTATTCTGTGCTGTTGCAGCCATTGTTTTGTTGAATTACTTGTATGCTTTGGGTCATTGTCCTGTTGCATCACCCATCCTCTGCGGAGCTTCAGTTGGCGGACAGATGGTCGTACGTTTTCCTGCAAAATGTCTTGATAAACTCTGGAATTCATTTTCCCATCAATGACAACAATCCGTCCAGGCCCTGAGGCAGCAAAGCAGCCCCAAACCATGATGCTCCCTCCGCCATGTTTTACAGTGGGGATGAGGTTTTGATGTTGGTGTGCTGTGCCTTTTTTTTCTCCACACATAGTGTTGTGTGTTCTTCCCAAACAACTCAATCTTGGTTTCATCTGTCCACAGTATATTTTGCCAGTAGTGCTGTGGAACATCCAGGTGCTCTTTTGCAAACTTCAAACGTGCTGCAATATTCTTTTTGGACAGCAATGGCTTCATCCGTGGTGTCCTCCCATGTACTCCATTCTTGTTTAATGTTTTCCTTATTGTAGATGTGTCAACAAAAATGTTAGCATGTGCCAGAGATTTCTGTAGGTCTTTAGCTGACACTCTGGGATTCTTCTTTACCTCATGCAGCATTCTGCGCTGTGCTCTTGCAGTCATTTTTACAGGACGACCATGCCTAGGGAGAGTAGCAACAGTGCTAAACTTTCTCCATTTGTAGACAGTCTGTCTTACTGTGGACACATGAACATCAAGGCTTTTGGAGATACTTTTTTGTAACCCTTTCCAGCTTCATGCAAGTCAACAATTCTTGATCGTAGGTCTTCTGAGAGCTCTTTTCTGGGAGGCATGGTTCACATCAGACAGTGCTTCTTGAAACCAGCAAACCCAAAACAGGTGTGTGTTTTTTAAGGGCAGGACAGCTGTCAGCAACACATCCAATATCATCACACTGATTGGAGTCAAGGTTGGCTCACTCCTGGCTCCAATTAGCTCTGGGAGAAGTCATTAAGCTAGGGCCTCACATACTTTTTCCTCCCTGCACTGTGAATGTTTACATGTTATGTGTAATTAAACCATGGCAACATCTAATGTTTGTGTAGTATTATGTTCAGCAGACTGTGTTCTTCTATTGTTGTGACTTAGATGACGTTCAGAGCACATTTTATGCCCAATTCATGCAAAACTCCACGTGTAATCCCAAGGGGTTCACATACTTTTTCTTGCAAATGTAAGTACCTGAAATAAATAAAATAAAAATATTACATTTGTGGATATGGGTATAGATACCCTTTAATTCTGGAGAACAATTTTTAAAGGGCCTTTAAATAAAATATAAAAGTAATTAGAATCAGAATTTAAATATATATATATATATATAGTGTGTGTGTGTGTGTGTGTGTATATATACATATATATATGTATATATATATATATATATATATATATCTCTCTATCTCTATAGATATATATATATATATAGATAGATAGAGAGAGAGAGAGAGAGAGAGAGAGAGAGAGAGAGATAGATAGATATATACACACACGTACATGTATGCATGCACTTTTTTTTTTATATAACAAAACTTTTAAAAATGTAGGGACTGATGTGAATGTACAATATATATGTAAAGTGCTACGTAAATTGACGGCGATATATAAGTACCTGAAATAAAAAAAAAAAATACTCCTTGTCTTTCAGTCGCCTGTCATGGCTGAATGCGTCAGGTCTTGGTTTTTTTTCTGGAATATCCCTCTATCAGTCTGCATGCCATCTCCAGAGACACCAAAGCTGCTTACCCCGAGGAGCACCTCTATGTCATGGTCAACGCCAAGCTGGCAGGTGGGTACACGTCTCTCGGGTACAGCATGTATGTTATAGTCAGTACTGCCCCATGTCCAGATTTGTTGCATACACTGCATGAAGGTGTTCCCTCTCACCCCTCATTTCCTGGAATATGTTGGGGAGGTTGTGTTTTGTAAAGCAATAAGGCCCAATTAGCTGCACATCTTTCCTCTCCTCATCTCATTTCTGCTACGCAGGGAAATATGGGCAGTTTATAGAAAAAAAAAAAAAAAAAAAAAAACTTTCAAAGTGCCCTGAAGTTACTGTGCATTAGTAGCTGTTTTTTTTTTTTTTTTGGAGAACTGGCATTGGAGTTTTAATAGACACCTGGTGACTTTTAAAGAGCACCTGTCACCTGCCCAATGCTATCGCAGAGGGGCTTTGTTAGCACCCTTGTGATTGCAATAATGTTCAATGAAAAAAAAAAAAAACCAAAAAAAAAAAAAAAAAACGGACACTTTCGAGGTGAAAGTGTCCGGACTTTATTTTTTAATTTTTTTTGGTTTATTTTTTTTTTCATCGAACTTCCTGTCCAGACCAATTTTCAGCTTTCAGCACGATCACACTTTGAATGACAATTGCACGGTCATGCAACACTGTACCCATATGAATTTTTTTAGCATTTTTTTGAGACAGGTAAAACTTTATTTTGGTGGTATTTATTCACCACTGGGATTTTTATTTTTTTTGCTATGTAAATGAAAAAGTCCAAACATTTTGAAAAAAGTGTTTTTCTTCTGAAATTTTGCAAATAAATAATCTTTCCTCCTAAATCTTGGCCAAATTAGTTTATAACCAAAAATTATAAATTTTTAAAAAATTTGTTTACATTTTTTATTTTTTATATATATATATATATATATTTTTTTTTTTTTAAATATGCCGTCACCCTAGCAGTACAGTGTCACTACTTGTGGGGGGTGATGAAGATTTTTTTTTTCTCATTTTTTTACACTGATTGCTTTTACTCCCATAAAGGCTGTAAAAGCAATAATTTCTCCTTTTCTCTGGCTGCATTCTTGCAGCCATTGAGAAATTCTGAAAGAGCTGGTGGTACAAGGCTGTTGTGAATAGCCTTGTACTATGTGATCTCTGTGATCATTCACAAATTTAGTAGTAAGCAATGATGTCAGAAGTGATATCTTGTTTACTACTATTCATGTGATCACTGATTGGCCAATCAGTGATCACATGAATCGGGACCTCACACAGAGGTCTCGTCCAGCGCTCGGTGTTCTCTAGACACAGCGGGCACCAAATCGTGGTGCCGCACGCTCCCAGGGAGCACGCACAGGCAGTGAATGCGGTGGCCATTTAAAACGCGACCTGATTCGGCACCGCTCCCGTCCAGCCGTTTTTGTACATGGGCCAGACGGGAAGTGGTTAAATTAATAACCCAAATTGAAATGCACGCCTAGGGTACCACGTGTATGGAGACCATGAATGCACCATATATTTGAGGTATCGCTGTGAACAAACTGAGTTAGAGCAATAATTGTACGGCCATCATTCACAGGTATCTCTAAAACTGATGAGCTGTAAAGGCTTTTAAAGTGTTGCCTATGGGGAATTGTAGGTACCATCATTTTTTTGTGATATCATGAACGCATGCTATTTTAAGACTTGGCATGTTTGGTATCGGTTTACTCGATGCAACCCTGTGACGTAGAAGGCAGCAGCAGTTGGGTGCTGCCAAGTTGAGTATCAGTGGGTTGAAAAGGTTGGCAGACACAGGAGGAGATTTTCTAAAACTGGTGCAGCTGTGGTTCGGAACCAATTGGCTTTGAGGTTTCAGCCCCCATTCACACCGATGCGACTTGTCATGTGATTTGACAGTTCTAAATTGCAAAGTCGCATCCTAAGATCAGCAATCGAACTGTTTCTAATTCGAGTTCCGGCACTACTTTTGACATGTGACTATGAAATCGTGCGACTTCAAGTGAAGTCGCACGATTTCAAAGTCGTATTCAGTGTGAACCAGGGCTCATTGTCAAAGTTTAATGTTAGAAGCTGATTGGTTACTATGCCAGCTACACCAGATTCCATGTGCTCCAGTTTTAGTAAATCTCCCCCATACAGTGAATTTTTCAGTCTTTATATTCATGAAAACATCAGTCCTCTGCCCAATACAGTCGCTTTTCCTGAATTGGCAAAAGGCGTTTGTGGACCATATGCATTGGTAAAAATGTTGGTGATCATGTGCTTTTATTGGCCAGCTTCATTTAAAACAGATTTATTTGACATCACATCCAACAACGCCACCATCAAACCCGCCCCGCAGGCCAGAGTACTTGGTGTCATTCTGGACTCCAACCTATCCTTCCAGCCCCAAGTCCAATCTTTAACAAACTCGTGCAGACTCCACCTCCGCAACATCGCCAAAATCCGCACGTTCCTAACCCCAGAAACCACTAAACAGCTCATCCACTCCCTCATCATATCACGACTTGACTACTGCAACTCCCTCCTCACTGGCCTGCCTCGCCACAGGCTATCCCCGCTTCAGTCTATCCTGAATACGGCTGCCAGACTCATTCACCTTTCCAACAGCTCCGTTTCCGCCACCCCCCTCTGCCAATCCCTCCACTGGCTTCTGATTGCGCAACGGATCAAATTCAAAATCCTAACACTGACGTACAAAGCTGTCCACCATACTGACCCGAACTACATCACTGACCTAATATCCAAGTACCACCCAGCACGCACACTCCGCTCCTCACAAGACCTCTTTCTCTCTAGTTCCCTGGTCTCCTCCTCCCATGCTCGCCTCCAGGACTTCTCCAGGGTGTCACCCATCCTCTGGAACTCCCTGCCCCAACCCATCAGATTATCACCTACTCTCCTCTCCTTTAGGCGCACCCTGAAAACCCATCTCTTCAGGGAAGCCTACCACACCCCCTGCTAACTTGACCGACCTCCTCCACTTCTTCCTACCACTCCATCCCCCACAGCTATCTTCCTCCTGTGCCACCATCCCCTCCCTCCTAGATTGTAAGCTCGAAAGAGCAGGGCCCTCGATCCCCTCATGTTTTGCATTGTATTGGTATTGTTCTGTCACATGTTCTGTCCCCCTTTGTAATGTACAGCGCTGAGCGAAACCATTGGCGCTTTATAAATACTGTATAATAAAAAAATATAATATAAATGAGGTGGTTTCCAGACAAGCTGACGTCTTATATCAGTAAACAAATGTTGATTCCGTCAGTAAGTTCTGCTCCATTTTGTTGTGTTATGAATTGTTGAAGTTACTGTATATGTGTGGGGAATTTTATATTTACATTGTTTTCCAGGTTCTGCTTTTTGAAGGTGAGTTAAAACTGCCATGTTGGTAAGTGAACTTTAGGCGAATTGATTTTTTTTTTTTTTTTTTTAAATTGTTTAGAAGATAATGAAACAGAAGCAGAGATGAAGGATCCGGAAGATGAAATTGAATGCAATGACAATGGCAACGACGAAGACGACGACGATGACGACGATGATGATGAGAGCAGCCAATCACAGAAATACGTTTCATTCCAGAAGATAAAGCAGACTGTATGTATAGCTGAATGGTGGCAGCTCCACATATTTCCATATGCCCATTGGGGTGTGCTTACTACATACAGTAGCATACATGGTTTACTTTGGGGTGAATTCCAGTCTGTGTGTTTAAAGGGGTGTTCCACTCACACTGTAAAAAAAAAAAAATAAGTCTGCAGCTACAAAAAACTGTAGCTGCTGACTTTTTAAAAAAAAAAAAGCCACTCACCTGTCCAACGATCCCACGGTGTCCTCCCTGCAGCCCTTTCCAGGCGCCGGCATCTTCAGTGTGGGCACCCCGCTGTGACAGCTTGCGACTTCACAGCCGGGTGCCCACTGCGCATGTGTGAGTAGCGCTGCACTTTCTGAATGGCCCCGTAGTTTTCAGGGACCTGTCACGTGTCCCTGAAGACTACGGGGAGGGAGGGTAGGACTAAGCGATTGCAGCGGAAGTGGGTACCTGTCAATTTTGGGTAACCTCTCCCCAAAGGTGCCAATCCTTAATGGGGAGTGGGGGACCAGTCTTTAAAGCAGGGTGGGTGGAGCTCCGCTTTAAAAAAAAAGAACTAAACTCCCTAAAAAAAAAAAAAATATAGATGGATATATAGAGAGAGAGAGAGAGATACACATACATACAGAGAGAGAGAGAGAGAGAGAGAGAGGGAGGGATATAGAGAGAGAGATACATAGACATATATATATATATATATATATATAAATATTATAAATAGAGAGAGAGAGATACACATACATAGAGAGAGAGGGAGGGATATAGAGAGAGAGAGATATAGACATATATATAGAGAGAGAGAGAGAGAGTCTCTCCCTCTCCCCCCTCCCCCTCTCTCTCTCTATCTATCTATATATGGATATAGAGCCTGACTATTGTAACGGAAACCGGACCCCGACTGCGCTAGGGTATTTCCATTATACTCCCGCTTCCCTGTCCGAACACAAATCCAGGGACACCACCGCTGATCATGCAGGAAATAGACAGCACCCAACTCTTCTTAAGACAGGAAGTCAATTGCTTTATTTTTACACAAACACAAGATATATACAACCAGGAACAGGAAACACATCACGGCCATCCCATCAGGGGGGAAGGGCTGCCAGAAACACCCCCCCCCCAACCAAACCAAGACACATAATCGAACAAAGGGATACACCACATGGCAGTAGACAAGGGGAACACATACATCCCATAATAGTTTGCTAGAACAATGGGATGCAGCCAAATGGCAGAGAACAATGAACAACCCCCACACCCCATCTATACATGTCTACACAATATCAGGACAGAGCACCCTGCACCCCTTACAGGCACAGGGTGCCTTAGACATAACAGGGATTTGGGGAGATGATACAGGGGTCCCCCCACCCCCAAAAGTCACTCTTGTCACAACTATGCCCACCCTTTCCTTCAAGATGTTCCCTTTTATGGAAACCATGCTACAGCTTCTATGAATGAGGGATGGAGGGATGATTGATAGTTCCAACACCTCAGTGCTGACAACGCTGCTCCTCTATAGACAACAGTACTCTGAGCATGTGTTACCAGCAGGATTACCAGGTTTGAATAAAGTAAAAGATGTCTGAAATAAGAAAACTAATGCAGCCACCACATCTAAAGACTGGTAAGCTGCAATATATTATACTCTTTAGTTCAGATATGCTTAACGTTGTCGTCCTGCAGCTGGATCTGCTGTTAATGGCAGGATCTCCAGATAAGAAACTTTTAACAGATTCACAAAAATATTAGTAAGCCAAAATGCCGAACATGAAACTGGCAAACTGTGTGTCAACCCTACATCTGTTTTTCAGTGTAGCCCTAGGATTAGTCTGTTAATGTCCGAGTAAATTTGTCATGGCACATTAAAATTAAGGCAGCTATAAAAAGCCTTGTGTAATCCCGAGCTCACTAATACCACGGACATGACATACCTTCACTGATTTGTTGCACTAAATTCAAGAAATACCACTTGAGACCTTTTACTATATCCCCATTCCTCATCACTTTGATTAAAAAAAAAAATGTAAAAGGATGGAGAGAAAGCTGTGACCGCATAGAGGACTATTGTTGCTTATGCCAAAGTACTGGCTGCCCATAGGAATGAAACATCTGAAAAATGTGAAAGGAAACAGTATCATGTTTTCCTGTCTCAGATGTTCATTTTGTGAAAAAGGAAAATTCTTCTGGGAGATATACCATAGACTGCATATTCTGACGACCTTTTTTAAAATGCCAATAGCTAGACGTGTGCTGATCCTTTGGCTTCAGTACTGTGTTTCACCTACTAAGAGTAGTGCAGGCCATACATGGGCCGAATTCCGAATGTATTTTCTGTAGAAAAATCAGAAATTTCATGTGTTTTTGTAATCCAGTGGTGCCACCATTGATTTTGAAATTCGACCAACCAAACCTTTAATTTCACCTCATGTTATTATTATACAGAATTTATATAGCGCCAACTGTTTGCGCAGCGCTTTACAATATAAGGGAGACAGTACATTACAATAAATAAATAATTTGCGCTAGTAAATGTGTATAAAATATATAAATATATATAAAGAAATCATCAAATCATAAGTCCAGAAAAAAATATATATATGCCAATACCACAAAAAAAAAAAAATATATAAAAAAACTTTTAAGTGCAAAAAACTTTTGTGCAAAAAAAGTGTCTAAATATGAAAAATTTCACCAAAAAACCTTGATAATATAATGGCAGATCATCCATAAATATATCTTCAGAAACGGAAACTCTGCAACACACCGATCCTCATCGATCGAAATAACAGGATGAAGAACTTTGTAGTTAATCGAAAATCCACTTCTCCAATAGATAAAGGACCACCTTCAAACGTATCCATGGGGGGAAATGCCAAGCACTCGAGAGAAACAGAAAGACTTCATGGTGCAATATTATAAAAACCAATTCCTTTATTAGGTACTCATTGCACTTACTCAAGAGGTGTCCCAGCCGACACCAGCATCAACAGCATAACAGCAATCACATAAACGAGCCTGGCTACTCAGCACATGCGCGGTAGCTGGCAGCCAAAAACGTAATGACGTCACATCAATCAAGCTCCGCCCTACGCGTTTCGTCATCGACGTCCTCACGGAGCGCTCTGTGAGGACGTCGATGACGAAACGCGTAGGGCGGAGCTTGATTGATGTGACGTCATTACGTTTTTGGCTGCCAGCTACCGCGCATGTGCTGAGTAGCCAGGCTCGTTTATGTGATTGCTGTTATGCTGTTGATGCTGGTGTCGGCTGGGACACCTCTTGAGTAAGTGCAATGAGTACCTAATAAAGGAATTGGTTTTTATAATATTGCACCATGAAGTCTTTCTGTTTCTCTCGAGTGCTTGGCATTTCCCCCCATGGATACGTTTGAAGGTGGTCCTTTATCTATTGGAGAAGTGGATTTTAGATTTAACTACAAAGTTTTTCATCCTGTTATTTCGATCGATGAGGATCGGTGTGTTGCAGAGTTTCCGTTTCTGAAGATATATTTATGGATGATCTGCCATTATATTATCAAGGTTTTTTGGTGAAATTTTTCATATTTAGACACTTTTTTTGCACTTAAAAGTTTTTTTATATTTTTTTTTTTTTTTTTTTTTTGGTATTGGCATATATATATTTTTTTCTGGGACTTATGATTTGATGATTTCTTTATATATATTTATATATTTATACACATTTACTAGCGCAAATTATTTATTTATTGGTACACTTTATATATGGTGATTTTTTGCAGCTGGTACACTATTAGTAAGTTATATAATTTTGACCATAGGCGCTATTATTAATTTTTCTTATTCTTAGTACATTACAATACTTTCAGTAGAGAAGGAATAGGAGGGCCCGGCTTGTGGAGCTTACAATCTAAAATAAGGGGGAAGTGATACAAAAGGTGATAGCTGCGGGAATGATCTGGTGGAGGTGATTCAAGTACAGTTAGGTGGAGGTGGGGTAGGCTTCCCTGAATAAGTGAGTTTTCAAAGATCGCCTAAAGGCAGACAGGGTGGGGGCTGACCGGACATGCTGTGGTGGTAGGGAGTTCCAGAGGATGGGAGAGGCTCTGGAGAAGTCCTGGAGGCCAGCGTGGGAGGAGGTGATGAGGGAGCTAGAGAGGAAGATGTCTTGGGAGGAGCGGAGTGGGCGATATCTGCGGATGTTGCTACAGAAAAGAATTTTCATGGCCAAGAATTTTCTTTTCTTTCCAGGTCGCAGCTCACGCTCATTTCTTTTTTTTTTTTTTTTTTTTTTTTTTTTTTTTTTTTTTTTTCTTGCACTATTCTCCCATCATTGATTAGAAATTCATTCATTTTTCAAAAATGTCCAACATGCCTGATCATTCAAATTTTGATAGTCGCACGTAAATCGTCCATTTCTGTGGCCCACTAATGGTGCGAAATTCGAACGGAAATTCTTAAAGATTTCCGATAGAAAATTCTTTTGGAATTCGACCCGTGTATGGCCAGCTTAAGTTTAAAGATCGAGAGTTTACTTGCTGTGTGCATGTTCTGGCATCATTCATTTTTAGGAGGAGATTGTCTGCAGTGACAATCTCTGTGTATTTTTCATCTAATGCAGGCCATACATGGGTCAAATTCCGAACTAATTTTCTTTTAGAAAGTTGGAAATTTCGTGCATTTTGTAATCCGATGGCGCCACCATTGATTTCGGAATTCGACCAACCAAGCCTTCAATTTCACATGTTGCTACAGAAAAAATTTTTCCTGGCCAGGATTTTTCTTTTCTTTCCAGGTCACAGCTCATGCGCGTTTTTTTTTATTTATTATATTTCTTGCACGATTCTCCCATCATTGATTAGAATTTAGTTAATTTTTCAAAAATATCCAACATGCCCGATCATTCATATTTGACAATCGGCCTTTCTGTTTCCCACTAATGGTGCAAAATGCAAAGAAAAGATTTTCAACAGAAAATTCTTTCGGAATTCAACCCATGTATGGTCGGCTTAAGACATCTTTCACGGTTGGCGATCCAATCAGGTCCACCTGTCATTTTTTTTTTTTTCATGCGGACCTGAGAGAGAGAGATCCTCGCACTCTTATGGACAGGTGGGTGTAAACGGACACAAGTCCATTTACACCTGCCTACCACCGGTCTGCTTAAAAAAATTGGAAGCAAATCTATCCTCCATTTACTCCCATCTGCCCATAGAGCAGAGCAGGCTCATGTTCATGTCTGCTCTGCTATAATCAGCAGGGTATCTTTAACCCATTCACTGCCAGGTCTGTACATCATATAGACCTGACAACGGGGGGGGGGAGTTTACACACAATCCAGTGGCTGCAGCCAATGGGATTGTGTAAAAAAAAAAAAAAAAAAAAAAGCTGCCAAGCAGACTCCTGCCTGTCAGGTGGCAGCATTTAATTGCTTCCACACCCCGACACCCCCGTGAGTGCACCCCGGCATGTATTTCCAGGCTCCGCTTGCCCATCTGCAGGCCTGGGGCAGACATGGCAGGTGGTGGAGGAGAGGGAGGAAAGCGGACACCCCTTCTTGCTGTTACCCAGAAAGCGATGTGTATGATGTCACCCTGTCACTTGCCATGACTAGTTACATCCAAGCACATCACATTCTCTCCCAGGACCCCCGCATTCACTATATCTGGTCTCCCAGGACCCCGCATTCACTATATCTGGTCTCCCCGGACCCCGCATTCACTATATCTGGTCTCCCCTAACCCTGCATTCACTATATCTGGTCTCCCCCCGGACCCCCCGGACATTCACTATATCTGGTCTCCCTGGACCCCCCGCATTCACTATATCTGGTCTTCCTGGACCCCGCATTCACTCTATATATCTGGTCTTCCTCTATATCTGGACCCCGCATTCGCATTCACTATATCTGATCTCCCAGGACCCCGCATTCTCTATATCTGCATTCTCTATATCCGGTCTCCCACAGTACACGGAAATGCAATTATTTTAGTAAATGTAAACTGCTAAATACTTTTTATCAGCAGTATATAGCAGAGTGTCTCCACCTGATATGTCTTATGAGGAGAAATTAGGGGGACACTGGAAGAAGGGGAGGATCAGAGAAGTCAGGATCTAACAGCATTTTACACAATACAGGGGATTAACCCCTTAGGTTCCACAGTGAGTGTAACACATATGCTGTACTGCATATACAGACTGATTTTACTGTTGTGGTTTTAGTAATATTTTAAGGTTTGACATGTTGGGCATCTATTTACTTGGTTCAACCTCTTTTTATATTTTATCAAAAATTTGGGTAATTTTTTGCATTTGTTTTACTAAAAATTAACTTTTTTTCACGTTTTATAAAACGCTGCTTGTTGTATTTTTGTTGCTTTTTTTAGCAAGTTAATTTTCCATAGGGGTCAGTGCATGGTCTGTAATAGGGATGGCTATCATCCTCTGTCTCAGAGCACAAAAGCTACTCTTCATTTAATGAACTGTCTGTGATTTCAGTAGGAGAGATGTTCTCTGCCATGTGTGACTGCCAGGCTTTGCACCCCGACCCGGAGGATCAGGACGACTCAGATGATGATTTTGAAGGAGAAGAGTATGATGTGGAGGCTCATGGTGAGTTCAGGTTTTCTGGCATGTTCTGATACTGCTAGCCATGTAAGCAATATTGGGCTTTTGCACGTCTGTGTGTGTTGTTAATTATTTGTATATTTGCTGTTGAAATAAAAGGAAATGCATCAAGATGTTGGCTAATGCAGGGCTTAAAATTTCAAGTCCTGAGCTACTAGCCAGGTCTTAGAGCTACTCGCCACCAAGAAACACAGAGACACCTGTATACACACACAGAAACATGTACACACACGCACAAAGACACATGTCCACACACAAACATACAGATACATGTATACACACAGACACATGTACATACATGCAGACACATGTACAGATACACACTTACACACAGATACATGTACAATTGTACATGCATACACAGACACACACACACCCTCCCCCATAAAAAGTTGCAGTACTTCGTTGTTCACTCACAGATCCGGGTACTGCACTCTAGGGGGAGGCAGAGAGCACAGCACACACTCCTTGCTTTGCTTTCACTGCGCTCAGCTATTGAGCAGTCTGACGGCTCCCAGTGCCAATGACCGATCCGGCTTGAGCTCCGAGCCTGCTCAGCAGGACGGTCCTGGGGGACACACTCGCCCCCACCATAATTTCCACTCGCCATTGGCGAGCAGGGGAGTGGAAATTTCAAGCCCTGGGCTAATGCACACCGTTTAAGTGCAGGTTGACATGCAGAAACAAGCAGCACTATAGCCACTTCTTCAACAATGCAGTGCCTACAAGCTCCTCTGCTGATGCTGACATCTTGCCAGGTTCAGTATGTTTTTTAGATATTTAGGTTAGGTTCACATTTGTGCGGGTGGTGCCGCTGCGGATTCACATGAAAATCCGTGCAGCCGCACCACCCGCACAGAGGAATGCGGACCCGCAGGCGGTGCCATTTTTTTTCTGACATGTTGGTGTTATATCTTTTGCTGGATAAAACAAAACCATGTCTGTTTTCATTTCTTGTTGCAATGTAACAAAATGTGACTATTCTAAAGGGGGTGACTCTTTTCTATACCCACTTTAGATTGGCCTGGCCAGGTTGACAGACAAGAATCCTTTATTGCAGAAGAGAGTGTTTCTCACTTGCAAAAATCAATAAACCTTCCGGCTTAATTTTTATAAAATTTAGGCTAAAGTTCCTCTTTAACCCCCCTGGCGGTATTCCCGAGTGTAGCTCGGGGTAAAGTTTCAGCACCACAAGCGGTAACCCCGAGCTACACTCGGGAATACATTGCAGTGCTGCTCCGGGATCTCTTCTTCACTTACCTTGTCCTTCGCTCCCGCGATGTCCCCCCCGGCCGCTGATGCTGGCATCTGTCTTTCGGGTTCCGTTTCCTGCGACGTCGGGACGTACAGGGGACGGAACTGGCGGGAAATTTGAAAATGTCAAAAAGTGACATTCACTAAATACACTAAAATCACATAGTATAACATTCCTGTATCAAACCATTTCACATACATTAGTCCCGAGTGCTTTGTCCTGTGTCCTGCCTGCAATTTTACTGTTCTTTCTGCCTGGAAACTGAGAAACGTCCACGGCGTCCAAAAAGCGTCCCTTTAGGTCAAAAGCGGTTTTAGACCGGCTAGAGAACAGCGATAGTAAATCAGAACCACTTGCAGAATTGAGTGATAATGATTCGTGGGGGAAATTCATCATCAGACACTGAAAACGATTCTGCGACTTTGCTCAGTGATGTGCGAACTTGGCGCTATATTTCAAATTTCAGTGTTTTTGGTTTGATTACATTATTGAATTACATTTATTATTATATTATTTTTTATGATTATTTATTAAATTATAATTTATGATTTCGTTTTTTCAAATTTTACCATACCCGGGATGTTTACTGGACTCTTGTTCGGACAGATTTCAGTGAGTTATTCCTAAAAATTACAGCCTACAATAAAAAAAATGACATATTTTCCATGCAAATAAATATACCGCTTTGAGCACAGAAATATGGACATAATCAGAGGTTAAACAAAAAATCACCAGCGCCAAAAAAATATGGAATAATTCCCAATATAAAATGCTGCTGCTCCTTAGTGATAACACTAATACAAATAAAAAAAAAAAAAAACCAGCACAAACCAATTTTAAATATACATAATATATATATCAACTCCCAAAAAACTCAATTAGTGCAGAAAAAAAGTGTGATGGTCCCACTCCAAAGTATATAAAATTCAATATATTAGATAAGATGCAGTCCTTTTTCCAAGAAACAAGAACCTTGACCAGTGTTCACACCCGTTGTGTTATCACACACCACACTCACCAGAAACGGGTGAATGGAGCGCCTTAAATTGTGAACTCCGGAATGCAAGATAGAACTGGAATCCGCCTCCAATCTCAGGCTTAGGCAGAAATCCCAAAAAATACTCTCTCAATGCCTCAGAGATCCACAGTGGAACTTAGATCAGCCTCCATCCTCTAGGGTGAGCAGAGATCACTCTCCATATCAATTTGATAATTGTGCAGAGAAAAAAAATATATAATATACTGTCCAAGAAGGGAATTCATATGGCTTTAGAGAGATTTCCTCTTTCTTGTTTTGTCTTTGACCAAGAGTGAAATCTCAGGTGAAAAAAAAACTGACGGGTCTTAACCATTACCTACTCTGAAACAAACGAAAACCATTTTGCCTTCACATACATTTGAGGCCGGTTCACACCATATGCAGTCCAGTACATTCTTTTTTTTTTCTGCTGCAAAAACATGGATGCATGGATAGTAGGTTATATGGTTTTTAATTTCACAGTTTACACCAGTGCAGACATTTCCAGAAAAAAGTAGAACATGCTGCATTTTTTCTGCACTGTACTGGAACACGGTAAAAATAATCAAAAACCTTCAGGTGAAGAAAGAAAGGGAGGGGGGAATGTACCCGAAAGCCTTAAAAATGCGTATGCAGAAACGCATCCAGACTGCGATTCTACAATGTGAACTGGCCCTTGAACTTCACCCTAAAAGGGTCCTCATCCCCCCACCCTTTTTTTGGGGGGGGGGGGTCCGAGTACTTGGTTTTGACAGATGCCCGCTCCCACTTCTGGTCAGGTCTCCACGGCTGGTAGCCCCTTCAGGAATTCTATTTTAAAGTGGTATTAAAGGTTCAGCTTTAAAAAAACAAAAAAAACAAAAAAAAACAAACATGTTATACTTACCAGTGGTTTAGCAGAAGAGCAGCCCCAATCCTTCTCTTCTGTGGTCCCTCGTCAGTGCTCCTGGCTCCTCCTCCTTGACTAGTGCCCCCAATTAGCACCAGCATGCTCACTCCTGAGCCCTGTTCTGTGTCCATAAGACACTTTAACCCTTTTGCTGCCAGCAGCAGTTTTCTTTTTTTTTTTTCTTTTTTTTTTATATGGGGGGGGGGTCCGAGTACTTAGTTTTGACAGATGCCCACTCCCACTTCTGGTCAGGTCTCCACGGCTGGTAGCCCCTTCAGGAATTCTGTTTTAAAGTGGTATTAAAGGTTCAGCTTCAAAAAAAAAAAAAAAAAAAAAAAAACATGTTATACTTACCAGTGGTTTAGCAAAGGGCAGCCCCAATCCTTCTCTTCTGTGGTCCCTCGTCAGCGCTCCTGGCTCCTCCTCCTTGACTAGTGCCCCCAATTAGCACCAGCATGCTCACTCCTGAGCCCTGTTCTGTGTCCATAAGACACTTTAACCCTTTCGCTGCCAGCAGCAGTTTTCTTTTTTTTTTTTTTCTTTTTTTTTTTTTTTGCACATGTGTAAAAAAAAAAATAATTTTAGGCCTGAAGATTACACAAAGCTCCCAAGCACTATATATTTTCTGAAAGCAGACACCCTAGAGAATAAAATAGTGGTAGTTCCAAACAAACGTAATAAAGCATCCAAATGTTTGGTAAAATATAAGGACGATGTTGCGCCGAGCAAATAGATAACCAGCATGTCAAACCTTAAATTTACATGCGTCTATGAAATGGCGACCAACTTCAGCACCCTATATTTTCTACAGGCGACGCTTCAAAAGACCCTACGGGTCATAAGTTTAGTGTTTCGGAGGTGGTCTTGTGCTAGAATTATTGCACTCACTCCAGCATTCGCAGCGATATGTAACGTGTATCGCAATCAACATTTTTACGCGTAGGTGCTCCTGATGTGTGAGTGCGTTTATATGGCAGGGGGCCTCAACATTTTTTTGGGGGAAGGGATGTTTTTTGGTGGCCTCAACATTTTTTTTTGGGGAAGGGATGTTGTGTGCTTGGGTGTAATTTTTTTTTTTTTTTTTTTTTTTTTTTTGAACTGATGGTTTTGACAGGTGACAGGTTCTCTTAAATGAGACATGCAGGGTCTAAAAGACTCTGCATGTCTCCTCTGTGCTGCACTGAATGTATTGCAATTTCTCATCTCTCCCCAGACCAAAATCCCCATTTCTGCCCCCCCCCCCACCAGTCCACTCTCCTTTCTCCCTTCCATCCGCCGTGACAACCCTGGGGCCTGGTGCGCGGGTGGGGGGTGGTTGCACATTAACGGGCTGGGGAAGCAATCGGACGGCAGCGCAGATATCCGAATGCTTCCATCTGACAGGCAAGAGTCTGCCTGTTAGTTTTAGATAGTCGTGGCTGCAGCAAGGTGTGTGGAATACCCCCCCCCCCCCCCCACTGTCAAGTCTGTACGACGTGCATATCTGTCAGCAGAAACGCAGGTAAAAAAAAAGACCTAAATTGAAAGCCATCTGTGTCCATTATAATGGAAGCATTGGGCAGAACATTATTTTAAAAAAAAAATAAAAGTAAATCCTGCTCAACTGCAACTTCCACTCCAAGGATGGCCATGTTCACTGGCTCATAAAATCTCAGAGAAGATACCCGTTGCCATTGGTTGCCCGTAGGCTTCAGAGTGACAGTGGGTAGTGGAACACAACAATAGGGATGCATGCATTGTGACAGGTTTACTGGGTGCATTGATAGGGGATTATGGGGAATGCTGCTTCAGCTAAGTCGGTGTTTCTCAACTCCAGTCCTCATGGACCCCCAACAGGTCATGTTTTCAGGATTTCCATTATTTTTCACAGGTGATTTGATCAGTTTCACTGCCTTAGTAATTACCACAGCTGTTTCATCTGAGGGAAATCCTGAAAACATGACCTGTTGGGGGTCCATGAGGACTGGAGTTGAGAAACACTGAGCTAAGTGATGCATTTGACATCATCGGATGTGAACTGCTTGCACATGCTGAGAAGGAGGCTCTGGGCACGTGGAGCAATCCATTTAACACAGAGCAAAAAAAAAAAATGGTATGTAGGAGATCCTGGTTATTTCTATCTTTTGACATCATTCATCCAGGGGGTGTCTGCTCGGGTTATTGGGTACCTGTAGATGTGATTGCCTGACCATAATCAGCTGTGTCTGGTGCTGATTGTTTTGGATAATTGGGATATTTAATGTCCTGACATGTTCAGCAAAGATCTTGTTTCTTTCACAGCATATACCCTCCAGATGTCAGGGGCTTTATCTCTTTTACTGAATTGGCTTACTGGAGCAATTTAAAGCTCTTTCTAATTGATGCTCTCTTCCATAATTGAGATTTGTACTTTGGAATTGTCGTTTGCTTTGGCAACACGCATGTGCAAAAGACCACCAGGACAGCAAGGATGTATTCAGTATCAAGCCATCAGTTGCGACCTGTTTGTTTTTTTTTGGGGGTGGGGGCTTGGTTTAGAGGAAAAATTAGTATATATAGAATAAATGCACGTTTTTTGCTTCACAGTGACCTGAAGATCTCTCCTTTCCTGCTGCTGGCACCACTCTGGAGACAGCCGGGATAAGAGATGGAGTGCAGTTGGTATCACTCCGCATGGGACAGGAGCCACCACTTAAGGGGCGGCATCGGCTTATGCGGCTCTTGCAACCTACTACAAATCCAGCTTTACAAGACGTTCCTCTGCATTGCACTCAGATGCTCTGGGATGGTGGGTCAGCAAGCATAGACTGCGATCTACCAGTCACCTGGCCATGATCTACTGGTTGCAGACCCCCACCTTAGATGGACTAGGTCATGTTCCTGGGTACAAGTGATGTTAATCTCTACAGTTTAATAATAACCTCCTCCTTTCACTCAGCTAACCTGCAAACAGAAACTCCAGGATCATGCTTATCCTTTTTGTAAAATTTATTATTCATCAAATAAATAAATGTACACTCCCCTTAAAAGGGTGCTGAATCACACCAGATATATACAGCTTAATATCTCAACTAGTAATCTTGTGCATTAACGCCTCGAACCACTAAAGGTTACTGCCTTTCCATCTTCGAATGAGCTTCGTGGTGTCATCCAAGGTCCCGCCCCTACGTGTTTCGTGACCACACACTTTATTTCCTAAGGAAACTCCACCTTTAGCAACACATTACATGTTCTACCCATAATTTGGGTATAACATTGCTAATCAACCGTCTTATCCCCAAAGCACCCCTCCCTGGTGCAAGAGTGTGGGGGTTTCCCATGCAGCAGCAGGCAAATTTGAAATCGGTAAGGTACATATATGCATTTTTATTTTATTTTTTTAAGGAGCTATTAACTGTGTGTTTTACAGTGTAAGCACTCTGCTTTACTCTAGCAAGTATAACCTGTGGAACTGAGACCTATGAAAATAAAATGTTTAAGGATTCAAGTGATTGATTGCTCCCCACCCCCAAAACTGGATCACAGGTGGCAAAATTAAAAAAGGTTTAGAATCTCTGTGCGGAATTTTCCTTTGTTCTCATGGGGGAGATTTCTCCATTTCTTGTCTAGTTGATTGGTGTCAGAAAAGAAGGAAAAAAGAAAGAAATGTTCTTGTGAGTACACAGCCTGTATTACAAATCTGATCCAACTGGTATTTACACTTCTTTAGAAGTTCTCAGCCTTGTTATTTAAATAATAATTAAAAAAAGACTACAGTAGAGCTTAGGAAAGGAAACAATAAAAAGGATTTTAGTGACTTGATGTGGTATTTTTTAAAGTAAAAGTAGCATTGTTTAGAATGAATGTGGTTATGGAATTCTGAATTTGGATGTTAAATCAATAACTAAGTTACAAAGCTCCACCCAAAAATATGCTTGTTTGGACTGTATTATTGTGATTGGTCATTCCTTATTCCATGTCCTCTGTGTCAAGCTAATGCTGGCGCTTGTTTTTCTGATTGTTTTCACCTTCTTTCTGTTAGAACAAGGACAAGTTGACCCTCCCACGTTTTATACCTATGAAGAAGGCCTGTCTCATCTCACTCCTGAAGGACAGGCCAACTTAGAACGGTTTGAAGGCATGTTGGCCAGCTCCGTAGGTCAGCACACCATGGCTGGGGTCCGGACTGAAGGTTCTGCTTTGGGATATGAAGGTGAATTTAAAAGCTGACAAACCTGGTGCAGACAGATTTTTATAAAATGCCTTGCATGCGTTTTAAAAGCAGTGCAGTGTCGCCAAGTTCATGTTCCTGTCTACAACTTTAACTTCTATACATGTTTGACACTTTTGAAAAACCTGTCTGCACCACAGTCTCTCTCTCTCTCTACACCAAAAGAAAAGGGGTCCTTATTAGCTCAACACACTCAAAAGATACAAAACTATATTTTATATTGAATTTGGTGCAGGCATTTGCAGCATAGTGTAAAAGTGAGGCATTCTAGAACTACAGTGGATATAAAAAGTCTACAAGCCCCTGTTAAAATGTCAGCTGACAGGGAAGAGAACTGTTTTGTTTACAAACAGTTCTCCCCGTCGGAGATCCTCAGTAATCACCGGGCGCTGGCGAGTAATCACCGGCTGGGACCTGGTGATTGAGAGCCACGGCCGCGAATGGCGGTGCAGGTAGGGCTTGCACGCGCCCCCTACCTGGAAATGAAAAATCACACACACACATCTATCTACACACATCTCTCTCTCTATCTCTCTCTCTCTCTCTATCTCTCTCTATCTATCTCTCTCTATATCTATATCTATATCTATATCTATCTATATATATATATCTATGTGTGTGTGTATATGTATGTTTATGTGATTTTTGTGCACCTGTGCCTCATTGTAGCAGTATTTCTGCAATAGGGTGGACGGGAAAGCTGATTGAGGATATATTTCTCATCTTTTGAGGCACATAGGATGTCTTAAAGTATTGTAAAAGTTAGAATTAAAAAAAAAAAAAAAAAAAAAAAGTTATACTTGCCTGCACTGTGTAATGGTTTTGCACAGAGCAGCCCCGATCTTTCCTCTTTGGGTTCCCCACTGGCGCTCCTGGCTTTGGTATGAAGGGGTCTCCTGGGTGTGTATTTAGTTCTAATTGGCCATACCTTTTGTCACCAAGCGGCGCTGCATTATCGGTCATCTTGGGGGGTGATGGGCACCAGCCCAATGGGTTGCCCACGTAAGGAGTGCCTGGCATGTGGCAAACACTGGGCGGCTTTTGAGTGTGATACAGGTTCCATGGGCAGCTTGAGTGCATGTGCTACGTCCACAGCCCTAAATAATGCATCTTTTTGGCTGAAAATGTGGCCGGGGGATGGCTAAGTCAAGGTTTTGTAGTTTTGTCCTTGTGCAAGAGACCTTCTTTCAGCCTGAGATCCTGCACAGTGTGGGTTATAGAAAGGTTAGAGAGTGGCAAATCCATTAGTATACATGGGAATGTGGTGGGTTGTTCTTAAACAGAGATAAATAGGGGGTCATGATTGAACCGCAGGGTATTGCGAGTATAGAAGTAGAAAGTATCAATAGGGAAGGGAGGGGTTTCCTTTGTACTTCGGCATGCAGAGGTTTGATGATGCCTGGAGCAAACCTTCGTTTGTGTGCCCCAAGGAGCGGTTCATGCCGGAACGTACACATTCCCATGCAATTCCAGCGCATTTCCCTGCATTGTGTTTTGACAGCCCATTCATTTGAATGGGCTACAATGCACACTGGGCTGAAGGGGGAAAGAGGGGAGAACCTATGTAAAGGTAAGTCAATGTAGAGGGAGTAAAGGTAAGTCAATGTAGTTGCAGTAGTCAAGAGATAATCAGGGAGTGACTTAGAAGCTTTGTGGTGTGGTTGGGCAAATAAGGCCGAATTTTGAAGATGTTGCGGACGAGGCGTTCTGCTTGTCCTGTGTGATGTGGCTGAGCTTTGGTAGGGGGATAACCCATTCTATGTTACAGCACTCGGGTGGTAGGGAGCAGGGAAATTAGCCACCTGCCTTCACCTACCTTGCGCATGCGCACCATCTCTTCAACAGTTTTTTTTTTTTTTTTTTTTACTTTGATAACCGTACTGCAGTTATTAATTAATTTTTTTTTTTTTTTTTTTTAAACCCTACTTTTCTCCAGATGGCATGGATGTTGTGCCCACAGTCCCTGGACAGTTTGAAGATGCTGATGTTGATCACTGAGTGATTATATACTGGTAAGTAAAGCCTCTTCTTTTAATTGCCAGCAGGTCATCACACACTCTCCTTACCTTTGCTCCTCTGCCATTCTATTGCATTCCACTGCTGCAAGTAGGAAAAACCATGCTGAGTAAAATCTGTGCCACTCAAGTCCTACTTATCATAGGTCTATTGACTTTCTCCATGTAGCAGGTCTGGGCTTGGGAATTGGTCTACTTCTGCTGTTTGGTTCAAGTCTCATGCTTCTCCTTACCTAAAAGTAGCATCTATTTGTCTTCACTGCCAGTGGCGGAACAGAGTAGGAGGTGCCATTGCTTTAAAGCTTAAATGTAAAACAAGCATTCCCTTCAAAGGAAAATCCTAAAACTGCTCTGACTAAAATAAAACTGTACAATGAAGGGATTCTTGTGAAGAAGGTAAATACTGGCCTTTCCTGCTGTCCGAACTATAGATCTCTGTTCTAGTGATGCCACTCACTGACGATCCCTCAAAATCCAGCAGTTAAGGGTACGTCACTTTCCTGGACCCTTTCCCCCCACTGCGCACTGTAGTTCCTCCCACCATCCTCTACATCAGTGTTTCTCAACCTTTTTTCAGTCAAGGCACCCTCTAAAACTATGGACAGTCCCGCGGCACCCTCTAAAACTATGGACAGTCCGCGGCACCCTCTAAAACTATGGACAGTCCCGCGGCACCCTCTAAAACTATGGACAGTCCCGCGGCACCCTCTAAAACTATGGACAGTCCCGGGGGCACCCTCTAAAACTATGGACAGTCCCGGGGCACCCTCTAAAACTATGGACAGTCCCGGGCACCCCATTCTAAAATGTGAAAAACAAATTCTAATAGTTTTGTATAACGCAGCAACATCCACACATGTAGGACACCCAACATTTGAGGTGATTTATTCCTTCCAAAGCAAATACACTTTTGTACACTGGTACTAACTGTTTCTCTTCTCCCTCAGTTTTTCTCCATCACTGAGCTAATGTGACCCCCGCACTGATGGAGAGGGGCGGGGGAGGGTCAAGCTAAGATGCTGTGCAGGCAGCTGACGTCCTCCTTATCAACTGATGAGGTCATTGGTTGTCAGGATGCTGGCAGCTAGAAGGTGGTAATGGTGCACAATGAAAACCTGTGGCTTTGTGTAACTAAAAGACAGGCTAGTTTCACCCGCTGGCTTGTATACAAGTTTTGGACAATTTTTAGACAATTTGTCCAAGGCACCCCTGAAGAAACCTCAAGGCACCCCAGTGTGCCTGGGTACCCTGGTTGAGAAAGGCTGCTCTACATCACAGTAGTGAAGTATAGGTAGCAGATCAAACTACTGAGTGCAGTAGGGGACAAGGAATCCAACAATTCGTTTGTGTGTCAGATGCCTGGTCCCCCCGCTGCACTCTGGTTGTTTTTGCTTTCTGCCTCAGCCTTTCTGTGCACAGCCAGTGACACTGATATCAGACACTTCCAGATGTTTGTCCTCGAAACGGCAGTTTGGTGCCGCAGTGCGAATCATGTAAGTAATAAGCATTCCCTTTGGAGGAAGCATTTGGTATATAAAAATGTAATCCTGGCAACTGTTTTTTAAAAATCATGCTGACCTGAGTTCCTGAGCCAACAGTACTGCTGAATACTGGAACCAAGTATCTGTTTTAGTCTTCAAATTAATCACTGCGTTTGATTTACTAAAGGCAAATAGACTGTGCGCTATGCAAGTGCGATTAATACAGAGATGATCCTCCTACTCTATCTCCCTACCCCAAAAATCAAAAACAAAGTGGCCGCAGACACCTAACTATATTCCAAAATAGTAAAAAAAACAATTAAAGGCGTAAAAGGTGCTGCGCTACTTGGTGAATGATCAGTGGAAACATAAATGACATATCTCAATGTAAATATGTCCCTCATCCAAGTGTCAACATAACATGTAGAAACATATAAATTGGTGCAAGCAATGCCAAGTGACAGTAACAGCCGCAAAAAATAAAGGCTATAAAGTGCTGGTGACACAAATGAATAAATATTGCTGATGTATAAAAATGTGACTGCGTCCCAAATGATCCATCAAAAATTGATAAGTGACTCCTTCCAGAAAAATCCACTAAGTGACTCAGCCCCAAAAAAAAAAAAAAAAAAAAAAAAAAAAAATATAAAAAAAAAATATATAAATATATATGACCGTCCCAAAAACACAGTAAATATTTAGTGCATGCCGTGACCAATCCAGTGCTGCAAACATATGAAGAAATCCTCCACTGGCTAGCAAGCGCGCTCACTTTCAAAATGCGACCCACAAGGAGTCACAAAGCATTGACAGCCTCAACTGATGATTTCCAAGAAATTGGTCCTCGATACAATCAGCAAAAGGTCATCTCCAATGGTTCCGACAAACACTCACAAGCATGCTCAAGAAATGGCCGCAGACCTCTGTCATCTGCAATGCCTCACTTAAAAGATGCAAGCAAAAAGACTCCCATAGTGTAATATGTCACAAACTTTATTTTGAATAAAAATCGCTACTGACATTTAAAATAGGTCTGCAGACCAAAACAGGCAAAATTCTTGCTGTCAAAAACTGCAGGGAAGGTGTATGGGATTAGGAGTACCAAGATGGTGGCTGCCGTCCGTACAGGATATGACGTCACCACGCTTCCAACCTACACGTTGCGTTACGGGTCCCGTGACTTCCTTGGGGGGGGGGGGGGGGGGTGTTGAGGATTAAATCTCCAAAGGGGACATGGGGAGCAGTAAAAACTTGATAGAATTTCTACTTTCAACCCAAAACCAAAGAAAAAGTGTTTGTAAATGTATTTTTTAAGTGACACACAGATTTATATTTGCCTGCTCTGTTCTGTGGAATTGCTCAGGGTGGCCTCAAACCTCTTCTTCTCGGGTTCCCCACCTTCCCTCCTGGCTCCTCCTACTTGGCGAGTGCCCCCATAAGAGGCCACTTCCTATAGAGGCAGTCGTGCGGGCTTGCTCCACAGCCTCGCTGTCTGCATCTATAGGCACAGACTGCAGGACTTGGGGCTCTCGCTGCCTCAGTTAAGCCAGTAACACCAGGAAATGAGAGAGAAGAGCTGCAGACAGGGAACAGCACTGGATCAGATGAGGGCTCGGGTAAGTAAAACGGGGGTGAGGGGGGATAATGATGTTTGAACATTGAGGTTGAAAATGTTTAGGCATTATTTATCCCCCCTCACCAAGGAATGCATTAAGGTAAAGGTTCAGGCTTTAGAACCACTTTGAGCGTTTGGTTCACATATATGCGGTGCGGTACGTCGCATGTGATTTGCACAGGAACTGCACCACATTCCTGTGCAAATCACATGCTATTTGTGTGTGGTGTGATTGGATCCTTACATTTTGTATGGCTCTAATTACACCACAAACGTGCAGGATCCTTTTTTTGGTCCACACTAGAATCGGATTGCATGGGTATTCACACCTATGCGATCCGATTCTGCACATCGCACCACGTTTTGCGGACCACTTTCGGGGTGAAAATTTAACATACACACCCGCAGCGGTTCGCATGAACAGGGTGCGATTGTGATGCGGTGTGGAATTCACACAGAAAACGCTGCAAATTCTGCACCGCATCAGTACCCCCGGGTTAAGTGTTCAGATTTACAAGGGTACATAGAGAGTGAAGGCATAGTTGGGTTGGAGGTAAACTTTGTTGATCTTACCGCTCAAATGTGAATACGACCCTTCCTAACCTCGGAAACCACTAAGCAACTTATTCACTCCCTTGTTATCTCTCGCCTCAACTACTGTAACTCCCTCCTCATTGGCCTACCTCATCGCAGGCTATCCCCTCTTCAGTCTATCATGAATGCTGCTGCCGGACTCATCCACCTTACTAACTGTTCTGTATCTGCCACCCCTCTCTGCCAATCCCTCCACTGACCTCCACTCAGTGTCCTCCAGCCCTCTCTGCCAATCCCTCCACTGGCTTCCCGTTGCCCAACGGATAAAATTCAAAACACTAACAATAACATATAAAGCCATTTATAACTCTGCCCCAAATTACATCACCGATCTTGTCTCTATATTTCACCCAAAACCGTACTCTCCGCTCCTCGCAAGACCTCCTACTCTGTAGCTCCCTTGTCTCCTCCTCCCATGCTCATCTCCAGGACTTCTTCAGAGCTTCCCCCATCCTCTGGAACTCTCTACCCCAATTTATCAGACTATCGCCTATCGCTCTGCTCACTTTTAGGCGATCTCTGAAAACCTATCTCTTCAGGGAAGCCTATCCTGCCTTCAGCTAATACTGGAATCTTCTACTCCTTCCAACCAGTCCATCCCCCACAGTTACTACCTTTTGTACCACTAGCCACTCCCTCCTAGATTGTAAGCTCCCAGGATCAGGGCACTCAAATCCCTCTTGTATTGAACTGTATTGTCTCCCGTTCTATTGTAAAGCTCTGAGCAAACTGTTGGCGCTATATAAATCCTGTATAATAGTAATAATATGTAGCCTCTTTTAGATTTACCATATTTCTGCGTTGCCAGCCCACTTTTGGAGTTACTCAGCATTAGGCTGCTTGTGACTGACCAGCTGCAATTTTGTTTGGGACTAAACCATATCTACTTTTCCTCAGGTGCCGGAGTGACGTTCCAGATTCAACCACTGTGACACCTGACAAGTTTACAATAGTTCTGCTTTTTACCTAACTGTTCCTACTCATTCCATGGAGCCTTCTTTTTTTTTTTTTTTCTTAGAGGAATTGTCGGACGCCAACCATTTCAGTGACTATCTTTGTAGTGGGACCCAGAAAACCGCTCTAACAAACGCTCTCATTTGTGTGACAAACTTGCTGAAGACGATTGGCTGCCACTTTAATACGTTTCGGCGCAGCTTTCCTTGGCGATCATGAAATCTTCATGTTTTGGACAATCTGTTGGCTTTCTAGACCTTGTAGGAAGTCCCAACATCTTTAATTCTGAAAGTGGTGACTGAGAGCCACTCATTGTTCAAGTCTGTTACAGGAAAGCAT